TGAGAACCACCACATCTGATTGCCGTGAGCTGTGGTGCAAGGAGGGAGAAGTTCTGGGGAGCAACAAAGCTTGGACTTGAGCAGGACCCTCCTGAGGAGGCTCTGGCCCTGGGCCTGGGCCAGGTACAAGGCCGTGGATGCCCCCATGGGGTGTTCAGGCTTCCCTGGTCTGGGCAGCCTCCCCGTGCACCCCTCACTCAGCACCGCATCCCTAATCCGCCAGCCACTGCAGCTCCCCCACAGCCTCCAATCAGGCAGTTCCCTTCCAGATCCTCCGGCTGTGGTCCCACATCCCTACCCAGACAGGCTGCTGGATAGGATCAAAGAAGAGCCCCACACTGTATTTTTCATGCGTGTGGCCCACATCTAGTTCATGTACACTAGTGGGTTCTCGAGTGCCATTTTTAAGTATACAGTTCAGTGGTATTAAACACAGTCATTACATTGTGCAACCATCACCATCTGTCTGCATGGCTCTTTCCATCTTCTCTAACTGAAACTCTGTTTCCATTAAACACTAACTCCTAATCCTCCCCCCTCCACCCCTGGCAGCCACCATTCTATTGTACTTTCTGTCCCTATGATTTTGGCTGGTCTGAGCACCTCATATGTATTTGTCCTTTTGGGCCTGGCTGACTTCATTTAGTGTAATGTCTTCAAGGTTCATCCATGCCGTAGCATGTCTCAGAATTGCATTCCTTTTTAAGGCTGAATGATATTCCATTGCACGTATATGCCACATTTTGTATCCATTCATCCATTGATGGACATTTGGGTTGTTTCCGTCTTTTGGCCCTTGTGGATAATGCTGCTATGAACATGGGTGTGTACAAATATCTGTTTGAGTCCCTGCTTTCTGGGTATATACCCAGAAGCTGAATTGCTGGGTCATAGTAATTTTATTTTTAATTTTTTGAGGAGCTGTCATACTGTTCTACAAGGTGGCTGCACCATTTTATGTTTCTATCAGTGATGCACAAAGGTTCCAACTTCTCTACATCCTCATCAACACTTGTTGTTTTTTGTCAATAGCAGCTTTCCTAATGGGTGTGAAGTGGTATCTCATTGTGGTTTTGCTTTGCATTTCCCTAATGATTAGTGATGTGCATCTTTCATATGCTTGTTGGCCATCTGTATAACTTCTTTGGAGAATTGTCTATTCAAGGCCTTTGCCCATTTTTGAAAAGTGTGGTTTGTTTTCTCTGTGTTAATTTATTGCAGTTCTTTATATATTCTGCATATTAATCTGTTATCAAATGTATGATTTGCAAATATCTTCTCCCATTTCGTGGGTTGCCTTTCACTTTGTTGACAATGTCCTTTGATGTTCAGAAGTTTTCAATTTTGATGAAGCTCAATTGATCTATTTTTTCTTTTGTTGCCTGTGCTTTTGGTATCAGAGCCAAGAAATCATTGCCAAATCCAGTGTCGTAAAGCTTTTCCTCTTTGTTTTCTTTTAACAGTTTTATCTTTTTAGCTCTTGCATTTAGGTCTTCAATCCCTTTTGAGTTAATTTTTGTACAGTGTATAGTGTAGGGGTCCAAGTTCTTTCTTTTGCATGTGGATATTCAGTTTTCTCAGCACAATTTGTTGAAAAGATTGTCTTTTCTCCATCAAATGGTCTTGTCAAAAATCATTTCTTCAGGGCTTTCTATTCTATTCCATTGGTTTATATGGCTGTCTTTATGCCAGTACCACCGTTTTGATGACTGTAGCTTTGTAGTAGGTTTCGAAATCAGGAAATAAGAGACATCCGATTTTGTTCTTCTTATGTGTATTGTGGCTTGGTGCCTCAGAGGAAACTTTCATTTTATTAGCCTGTTATACTTCTGTATTTTTTATGCACGATTCAAACCACTCCCCTCCACATGAAGCTTTCCCAATCTCCCCAACAAAGGATTTTGTTGCTTCTCCATCTGAGCTCTTCAGCCAAGAGGCAAGAAGGAGTGGGTGAATGTTGACCTACTTTGTGCTGAAGGCACCTGTCCTGTGCGACCACGTGTCTTCCCTTCCAGGCTCTGAACAATGGATGACACATGTGCTTGTCTCAGTGCCATGCACGGCGCCGGGTGCACAACAGGCACTCACTTCGTGTAAGACTGACAGCACGAGGACGCCCTTTGCTCTCGAGAGTTCTCTAAGAGGATTTCCTATATAATTGAGGCCTCATCCTTGAATGCCAAAACCTGCCTAAAACGTTTAGCCATTTGAACAAAACTCTGCTGCCTGGATTCGTAATCCATGCCTTCTAAATAGAAAATCATAATGGCCACTGTCATCTTTCCTTGAGGAATCTGGGTCTTTAACATATGTGTGAATTCTTGGCTGCTATTTAAGAATGCCCCAGGTGAGAGTTGATCTACCCTATTTTACATGTCTGTTTGCCCCAATTTGCCCGTCCTTCACATTGTCTTTTCTGATTTCCCTGGTTTTAATGACATATGCACCATCAACTCATCAGCTACCATTCTGCTCGCTATCCCTGTGCAGCTTTGCCTGCCTCTCTTCCAATTTCTTGTGAGTTGGGACACAAATAACAAAGCTCTGGGTAAAACGAAAATAAACAGGCCTTGAGTGGGGGCTCCTGGGGGCTCACTGATAAGTCAAAGGTTTAGGTTTTGTGCATGGGCTTTAGAATATCTATTCTGGCTGTTTCAAAGCCATCTTTGCTCCCTTGCCGGTGCTCTGCTGGGCTCTGGGTTTTTCCCTGAGTAGCTAACAGATGAGGCTTAGAGAGAACTGGTTACTATAAGCCTAAACCAGCTAGTTTAGGATTAGGTCAATGTGCAGGGGTTTTGGCTCAGCCCCAGGCATCTGCGAGGGGGTTGTTGGGGAGACAGAGCATGTGGGCAGTAGAACCCTGTCTCAGTCCTTTCCTGCTTCTATAACAAAATACCTGAGACTGGGTAATTAATAAAGAGCAGAAATTTCTTTCTCACAGTTCTGGAGGCTGGAAGTCCAAGATCAGGGTCCTGGCAGGTTCAGTGTCTGGTGAGGGCTTGGTCTCTGCTTCCAAGATGACTCCATGTTGCTGCATCCTCACATGGCGAACGGCAAAGGGAAAAAGGGCCTAGCTGGTCCCCTCAGCCCTGTTACAGGCACTGATCCCATCCATGGGGGGAGCCCTCATGGCCTGATCTCCTCCTAAAGGCCCCACCTCTTGATACCATTGCACCGGGGATTAAGTTTTCACATAAAAATTTTGGAGGGGACATAAACATTCAACCTATAGCAAACCCCAAGGGCTGGGGGAAGATGCTTCCCAGTGGGGAGCGTGAGAAGAAGTGCAAGGCTCAGCTGCCTTCTCCCTGCTACAATGCTCTTCTCTTCCTTGGAAGAGTGATCAGGATCCAGAGACCTCGCGTGGTGCTCTCGGTGGTCTGAGCTCAGACCTCGCCTTCTCCCCTCCTTGATCACCACCCAGTAATCTGCCAGCCGCATCTCCCATCACCCCTGCAGCAGCTCACCCCAGGGACTGTCAGTGATGTTGCTAATGTTAGGCCCTTGACCCTGCTGTTTAACTGACAAACTCACCTTTACCTATGAGTGTGAAGGACTCTTCCTCTGACATCTAATGCTAATGGGTGCAGATCCCACTGAGCCCTGCCCAGCTGGGTGCACCCTGACCTTCCTCCCAGATCAGTGCTCTCCTCCTCAGGCTCAGCATGGCCTGTGTCTGATGTTCTGGGCTTGGGGGCTGGGGAGAGGAGGCCCAGGACCCTGCCTCTCACTTTCCTTCCCCCTAAGAGGGAAGGGAAGAGGGTCTGGCTCTAACACCCAGACTGGGGATCCTCACAGGATGCTGGGGATGGGGTGAGAGGCAGGGCCAGGGTGTCCCTTTACCTGCTGCTGCAGCCTGTGTGTGCGGAAGGTACATGCAGAGTGACACTTGCAAGACCAAGCTGTCCCAAATGCAGCTACTTTGGAAGGACCACGTGGGCAGGCATGCCTGTGTGCTGGGGTCTGGGCCCTTCGCTGGATGGTGGTCGGATGTCAGCATCTCCGCGTTAACCCCAAGAGCATGCAGTAACTCAGGGTTCGCAGAGGCTCTCAGGAGCACACCCTAACCTCATTGGCGCTGTGAGACAGGCAGGACACAGCTCACACTGATGAGGACACCCAGGCTCAGAGACATTTAGCAAACTGCCCAGGGGCATCTTCAGTTCAATGAGAGGTACAGCTGGGGCCAGAAGCCAGGCTGCCTGGGTCCCAGCAGAGGGTCTTCCCTGGACCCAGGGAATACTGTGTCCTTTTTAGGGAAGGTTCCTGATGCCAACCATTTCATCTGTCCCTGCACAGACAGGAAGTGCGGACTGGTCATCAGAAGATGTGAATTCTGTCTGTCTTGTCACAGATGGCCCCGATCTGTTCCTTAGAATAAACCATTGTCTCTTCCCAGGCCTCAGTTTCCTACACTGTAAAAAAGGGAACACAACAGCTCAGTGGGTTGCAGTGGGGGTAGGTGAGGTGGCGGGTACTCTGCAAGGGTAATGGTAGACGCCTCCCCCATCTTCTCATGTCTCCCTCCCACTGGGAGAAAGAAAATTGCATTGAGCTGACTACTAAGAAACCTGGATTTCAGTCTCACCTCTGCCTGTACCTCCCTGGGCCTCAGTTTCCCCTCATACAAGCAAGAGTTTGACCATCTTGAATTCTAAAGTCCCTGCCAGCTCTGGGATCCCAAAACTCTACTCCTTTCCTCCTCCTCCTCCTCCTCCTCCCCTCCTCCTCTTCCATCTCCTACTCCTCCTTCTTCTCCTCTTGCTCCTCTGAGGGAGGGAGGTTGTATGTGTACATGTATGTGCTTGTGTGTACTTGCTTGTGTGTACCTGTGTGCATGTGTCTGCATGTAGTGGCAGCAGGGGAGGGGAGAGAAGCAGTCCTGAGGGGATGGGGTGGCAGTTAGGAGAGAAGGTGGGAGGACCTTACGTGCCAGCAGGGCTCAGAGCTTTTTCAACAGCTAATGGTGCTTGGGGCTGTTTAATCATTAAAGGAAAGCAATGAAGCCAGGAGCGCCTCAAAGTCCAGCCTGCTGGTGACGGACACTAACAGATGAGCAAGGAGCTGGCAGCAATGGGGCCTGCAGCCTCCGGGGATGGGGTCAGGACTCAGACAGCTCTGCACTCGGTGCCGGGCTCCGGAGTCGGCCTGCATGCCTACGACATCGGGGCGGTGGTCGTCTACTTCGTCTTCGTCCTCGCCGTGGGGATCTGGGTGAGTGGGCCCTGAGACTGGGGCTGGCAGGGGGGCAGAAGCAGTCTCTCATCCTGGGCTGAGCTGTGGAGCTAGAGCCGGGGTGGGCAGGAGGAAGCAGATCACAGAACCACGGGGATGAGATGGAAAGGCCTTCAGGAATCATGCTCCCCATGCCCCTCCTTTGATAGAAGAGCAGACAGGCCCAGAGAGGGCTGTGGCCTGCCCGAGGTCACATGGTGGGCCCTGGGCAGGCCAGGCCTGGAGCCCCCAGCTCCTGCCACCTTCGGCCCCACCCATCCCTGGCCTCCCTGAGCCTTACTCCTGCCCTTTTCCCCACCACAAGACCCCCAGCCCTGCAAACGCTGAGCCCCGACCCTACACCCATCTGCGCTCCTTAGTGTCTTGGCCACTGAGTGGCGCTTTCTAAAGGAGCCGGGGCTCGCGCGCTCTCAGGGAAGGGCGCCAGGCGCAGTCCAAGCTCCTTCCATTCTCCACTGTTCGGTGGAGCCTTGGTGCCATGGGCAGGCGCCAGGCTTTGAGGTTCAGATCTCAGCCCCAACAGTTAAAGCCATGTGGCCCTGGGGACATAGGAAGCTTCTCTGAGCCTCAGTTTTCCCAGGTGACAATGAGAGTAGGGACCGCACTGTGGAACTGCTGTGCTTGCTCAGCACAGGACACACTGCAGCCCCTGGCACCGTGCCCAGGGCCCAACTGTCAGGCCGTAAATGGCCGCTATTATCACCCCAGCGTTCAGCAGAAGTGCCGGCACCTTTAGACTCGGCAGACACTGTGACTGGTGTCCCAGCTGGTCACGTCCTAGGCTGTGGCAAGGTCAGGAACCCTCTCTGGGCCTCGGTTTCCTCCTCTGTAAAGGGAAGTGAATCGTTCCTGCCTCCCAGGGCTGGTGTGAGGAAGAAACGGGCAAACATATGATCACTGGCTCCCGGACGTGGCCAGCTGTGAAAAGCGCCAACTCCTCTGTGACTTGGGACAAGCTGCTCCCTGTGCTGGACCTCCTCTTCCTCATCTGTAAAATGAATGTGTTTCCCCCATTTGGCCTCTGAGAGGATCAGAGGTGACAGTGGAAAGTTCAAGCAAAGCTTAACAAGCACAGGCCCTGCATACGCTCAGCACTCCCTGGTGACTGATTCCCCCAGAGAAAGGCAGGGACCTGCTGCCTTCAGCCTCCGGAGAACTGCCTCATAGTTGGCCTTCCCCACCCATTGCCCTGCCTCTCCCCATGTCCCCAGAGAACGTTCCAGCAGGCCTCACACTGACCACCTCCTGGTGCAGGACACAGGTTTCCTCTAGGGTCCTGGGTGGGGCTCAGTGGTACGGTCTGACTTCAGACCAGGTCAAGGGGAGCCCCAAACAGAGCCCCTAACTCTGCCCAGGGCCCAAAGTCCCACAGTTAGAATGGCAGCCCCTCTAGGGTGGGGAAGGAGGTCAGCTTGGGGAGAGGGCAGCCCCTCCACTGAGAAGGAGATTCCAAATCATCTCAGAAAAGCACACTTTGGAGGAGGGAAGGACAGGGACCAGAGTCCCGACGATAGTGGTCTCACACTCTTGACGTCTCCATCTTTGAGCTTCATACCGGCGCTGGGAGATGAGCTGTGAGGCCCACAGGGAGGAAGTGACTCTCCCAAAGCCGCATGGCTTAAAAATGGCGACACCAGCAGCCCTCAGGCAGTGCTGTGCTGCCTCAGTTCTCACCCCCTGGGTCCCCCGATGCCTGCACTGAGGGGCAGGGAATCTGGGGTGGAGGGCAGGGGTTGGAGAGAGGCTCAGGAACGCTCACGTCTTCCATTTCCTTTCCAGTCGTCCATCCGCGCCAGCCGAGGGACCATTGGCGGCTATTTCCTGGCGGGCAGGTCCATGAGCTGGTGGCCAGTGAGTTGACCTTCCTCCCCCTTCGTGCGAGGCTCCCAGCCCTCCTCCCTCCCCATCCAGGGCCTCGTCTCATCCCCTCCTGCCTGGACGAGGCAATGGCCTCCCCACTGGGTTTCCTGACTCCGGACTCCTCTGTCCTGCCCAAATCCACCTGTCACCTGAGAGGCATTGCCGACACACGCTTCGGACAAGCGTCCCCTGGCGCCTCCCAAGTGTGGGCCCCACGCCAGGCATTGGATCTGCAGGGACGAGTCAGGAATGTCCCTGTCCTGGAGAAGCTCAGAGTGGAGCGGGGGAGACTCACAAACAGCCTGTTTGACACTGAGCTAGCGGGAAGCACAGGGCTCGTGCGAGCTGGAGGGAGCCCCCGGCCCCAGACAGTGGGGTGGGGTGGGGAAGGGTTAGGGAAGGTTTTCTTGGGAGGGTGACACATAAGTTTAATGCTGAAGAGCAGTTAAGTGAGGGAAGTCACAGCAACCTCAAGGAATTGATCCCCAAACCCTTGTGAACCCCAATTTCTCCTATGACGTCACCCACATTTCTATTGGTCCTCAAAACTAACTTCCTCCTTCTGGAGCGGGATGGAGGGAGGAAAGCCCTGCGGTGGCTGAAGCAGTACACACATCCAGACACACAAACTCACCCACGACGTGTGCACACACACTCATGCACACATTCACAGTCTCACTCTCACACAGTGCGCTCACACACATATCCACACCCACGTCCACACTCACACATGCTTGCACACTCGTGCACACAGTCACACTCACGCTCTCACACTCACACATTCTCAGGCACACCGCCAGCCACCTCCCACCTCTCCCCGCCCTTCTCCCGGTTCTCCCACCTCCCCGCTCTGCTGCTCACAGACCCTCCTAAGAGCAGAGGAAACCCAGGGGGCCTCCAGGGCTCTCTGGGAGGTTTGGGGATTGGGACAGGAAGAAGTAGGGGCAGGAGCTCTCGTGCCGTCCGGCGTGATGGCGTCCCCAGGGACGTGGCGCCCTGAGGGCCTGGCAGCTCGGGAACAGTGTCGGGGTCACTGACACCACCAGCCACCCCCTCATCAGATGAAAGAAAAGCCCTTGAAAATGGTTCTGCTCAGCCAGGGTCCTCAAATCGCCGACCTGGAAATGGGTGAGGGGAGGAGAAATAACAGCACAGAAAGTTCCTCTGGGCACTTCAGGAGAGCCCAGCGCTGACCGGCCGCTCGCCCTGTAGGAGCAGAGCTCGGGGCCACTGCTGCCGTGAGGAAAGCCGAGGCTTCCCAGCAGGAGGACGAGCCCTGGCAGATGCTCCCAAGTTCCTGCCGTGCCCCAAACCTGAGTGTGTGTGTGTGTGTGTGTGTGTGCATGTGCGAGTGTGAGAGCGTGTGTGAGTGTGGCATGTGTGTGTATGTGTGAATATGTGTGTGACTGTGTGAGCACATGTGTGTGCATGTGAGTGTGGCGCGTGTGTGAGTGCATGTGTGAACACGTGTGTGAGTGCATGTGTGTATGAACATGTCTAAATGTGTGTGCGTGTATGTGAGTGCATGTGCACATGTGTGAGTGTGCATGCACACGTGTGCGTGTGCACGTGTGTGGGTGTGCGTGTGCCCATGTCAGGGTGGCGGCAGCTCAAGGGCCTCAGCAAGGTCAGCCACTCGCTAGCGCTGCACCTTTGCACAGCTCACCGTCTCTTCTCTGAATGTCTCAATACTTTTCCTTTCTCCTCACTTTCCATCTCACGGCACCTCTAGAAGGACAGGAAGTGGGAGGAGGTGAGTCCCATGTTTTACCGGTGAGGCTTTGAGAGAGGGAGTGATTTTGTTAAGGCGACACAGGGTACAAAACTGGAGCATAGCTCTTCCCCCCGGCCCCAGTCCTGTCCGCAAGGTCTCCCCAGGCCTCCTCCCAGGCCCCAGAGCCTCACCCTCCGCCCTCTCCTCGCAGCCCAGGATCCTGTGTAGTAACAAGAGACAACATGGCCGGGTGCGTGCAGGGGCCCAGCACCATCGGTGTCGGACAGCCAGGGTCACCTGTCAGTTCTGGGCCTGGGCAAACCACTTCCCTGTGCCTCAGCTCACTCACAGTAACATGGAGATAGGAGTGTCCACCTCGCAAGGCTGTCTGAGGGTTAAACAGGTCGGTACAGTCAGAACACCGCCTGGTGCTGCAGAGCTGTACAGGCACTAAGCGCCATGACCAATGCCTTCCCTGTCTGCGAGCAGGTGGCCGCACTGCCGGAGAGGACTGACTCAGCTTGGAGGCTGGCCTGGCCTGTGCTCAGCCCCCGCCCTCCCTCTGCCTGGCCTTGCCCTGGACCCTGAAAGCTTCCTGCCCCTCACGCTGGGGCTTCCTTCTCCCCACTCCACCACTTTACTCGCTGGGCGACCTGGAGCCGGTGACTTCATCTTTCCTAACATTAGTTTCTTCCCCTGTATATTGGGAAGACTAATATGGTCCCTCGTCCCTCCCTCCAGATATCTGTGGAAATGTATTGATTAGTGCATATAAAGTGAGTAGCACGGTGCCTGGCATACAGTGGGTACCTAATAAATGTCAGCTCCATGCCTCCTCCTCCCTGCTCATGGTCCTGACCCCAGATTGATTCAGATTAACCCTGACTCTTGAACCTTGACTCCACTTGTGCCTTGCAGATTGGAGCATCTCTGATGTCCAGCAACGTGGGCAGTGGCTTATTCATCGGCCTGGCTGGGACAGGGGCTGCCGGAGGCCTTGCCGTGGGTGGCTTCGAGTGGAATGTAAGGAAGTCGGCCTGGCTGCTCCAGGATAACGGGGGTCTGACCCACCCCTACCCCTGGCCTTAGTGCTGAGAGGAGCCTTAGAGGTGTTTGGGAGGCTGCATGGTGAATTGAGAATCCATTTTACAGATGAGGAAACCAAGGCCTGGAGGAGGCAGAGGGACTCATCCCAGGTCACACAGAAGAACTGGGACCAGGTCCCAGGTCCCACTTACCTCCCTGCTCAGCTCCCCACCCCCCAACAGCATGGAGCTGCCTCTGGGTAGCAGGCCACCCTCTGTCCACGTCTAGGACCTGGGTACCTCTTCTCCCCATTCTCCCAGGCAACCTGGCTGCTCCTGGCCCTGGGCTGGGTCTTCGTTCCCGTGTACATCGCCGCCGGTGTGGTCACAATGCCACAGTACCTGAAGAAGCGATTCGGGGGCCAGAGGATCCAGGTGTACATGTCCGTCCTGTCTCTCATCCTCTACATCTTCACCAAGATATCGGTGGGTACCGCGCCGACGCGGCCGTCGTGGGGTCTGAATACGCTCATTAGCAAGCTGCCGAACGCATTGCTGTGGGCTTGCCGCAGAGGGGAAGCCGACAATCACAGGCTGGCAAGGACAGAAGGAGGGAAGAATAGAAGGAAGGGAGGAGGGAGGGAGGGAAAGACACACCTACCCTCAGTGTCCGCTCCTCCTCAGCACTGAGGTAATCAAAGATGAATGTTAAATGCTTGTTGAGTAAACAACAGTCTCTACATTCAAAGAACTCATAATCTAGAGTTTATTCATTCATTCATTTATCTTTTCATTAATTGATTCTTCATTCAACAACTGTGCATTAATTGCCTAGAATGTTGGAGTTAGAAAGATCCTTGTTCTTCCCCTATTGACCTAAACTCGGAAAGCAAACTTAGACAGGTTGATGACTTGCCCAGGTCCACACAGACGACCAGCTCTGGGACTGGAACTGCAGTTCCGTCCCCATGATCCAGTCCAGGCTCCTTCCACTCTGTCATGTTGCGGACCCTGTGACAGGTTCATGAAGCAATCACGGGATGGAATCAACACACTAAAGGGAACAGAATCCTCCGGTTGCCAGTTGCCAGGTCTAGGCCTGTAAAATTTGAAGGCCCTTGTTCCCCCAGTGCTTAGGAACGAGCCTAGGTCGGCTCAGGCAGAGGTCGAGCCCCCACCTCCCCTAGCAAACCCCACTCGTGGATGACGCAGGACCCGTGGTATCTGCACGAGGGCTCCCGCGCATCAGGTCATCGAGCCCCTAGGTTCCTCCTCTCTCCTGCCAAATGGCCTCTTCTTCTCCAGCCCCAGCTGCTCCCCCCACTTCCTCCATCTTCCACTCCCTTCCTCGCTACTCCCTTCGTCCAACAGACCAGCTCTCCGTTATGCTGTCCTCATTTTCAAAGCTTTATGCAAACTCCCCTGCTTTAAAGTCTCCATAGCTCCTCAGCGTCTGTCCTCAGCGCAGCCCATAAGGCTCGTCTCCATCGAGGGCTGAGGGCTGAGCGTACCTGGTACTGCTGAGTAGGCAGGTGACATGCCCCCCGGCAGCCACATTGAGGGTCTCGGGCAGCCTGGACTCAGGGTTCCTGGCTCTCTGCAGACTGATATCTTCTCCGGAGCCCTCTTCATCCAGATGGCCCTGGGCTGGAATCTCTACCTCTCCACGGGGACCCTGCTGGTGGTGACGGCTGTCTACACCATTGCAGGTAGGCCCAGGAGTCACGCTGGGGTGCAGAGACTGGCAGAGACATAGAGAGAAGGGCGGAGACACAGAGATAACCAATGCTGAGAGAGACTGAGAAACAGGGAGGGGCAGAGACAAAGAGAGGCAGAGACAGATGAGGGAAAAACACAGAGAAATACACTGAGAGATGTGTGACAGAGAAACGGCATTAAAAAGGCAGAAACAGGGAAAATAGGGCCAGGCAGTGATGGGAAGGAGAGACGTTGAGAGATGCTGAAAAGACCGACTGCACAGGGGCAGGGTGGAGACAGGGACTGTCACCTGGGCCAGAGTCACAAACCGCCTCCTCCCATTTCCTCCAAAGCACCTGGCGCAGGGCCAGTCACCCTGGGAGACAGTGCAGGACAGGCTTACATGTGTTAAGTTGGCCTCGGAAGACAGGGGCATTCAGGTGGGCATCAGGAGGGGAAGGAGGGAGTGTTCCTGGTGGAGCTACCAGCCAAGGAACGGACTGCGACGTGGACAACACAGAGCTGCAGTGACGGCCGCTGTCAGACCCCGCCAGCGACAGGAAGAGCAGGCCTGAGCACCTCTGACTGTGGCCAGCCTGCATCCTGCCAGGCTGGGCAGGGGGGCACGAGGTGTGGGGTGTGTTTCCTGGTCTCACTGGTATGGCTGAGCACGGGGTGGGCACCCAGAGGGGAGCCCCTGTTGGTGCTGCCTGACGGGCCCTCTCCTTGGGTCCCCAGGGGGCCTCACGGCTGTGATCTACACAGATGCTCTGCAGACGGTGATCATGGTGGGCGGAGCCCTGGTCCTCATGTTTCTGGGTAAGGAAGAGGTCCCAATATGCCCACCATCGCCCCTAAATTTCTCTCTGACCTCTGACCTATGTCACCTCCATGGCTTGACTGGGACTTTCCAGAGCATAGAGCCATGTCCCTGCTCCAGGCTGGGCCTCCCAAAGACAGGATCCTCTGCACTGCGACCGGGGGGCTTGAACCCAAGCCCCATCTCCCTCCCCATGACAGACTCAGTGGGGTCTCAGGGCTTCTTCACTCACTGTGTCTCTCCCCACAGGCTTTCAGGAGGTGGGCTGGTACCCAGGCCTGGAGCAGCGGTACAGGCAGGCCATCCCTAATGCCACAGTCCCCAATACCATCTGCCACCTCCCGCGGCCTGATGCCTTCCACATGCTTCGGGACCCTGTGAGCGGGGACATCCCTTGGCCAGGTCTCATTTTTGGGCTCACAGTGCTGGCCACATGGTGCTGGTGCACAGATCAGGTAATGCCCACAGCCGGCTGTGGCCCAGCCCACCAGGAATGGGGTGGCTTCCTGCAGATGAACCAGGTGTGGATGCAGGGAGGGCTGGACCTCATCCTGGGACTGGGGTGGGGCACAGCCAGTGACCAGCGTCAGGGCTCACGTGTGGCCGAGCTAGCCCCTTCCATCGCTGCTGTTTCAGGTCATCGTGCAGAGGTCTCTCTCTGCCAAGAGTCTGTCCCATGCCAAGGGAGGCTCAGTGCTGGGGGGCTACCTGAAGATCCTCCCCACGTTCTTCATTGTCATGCCTGGCATGATCAGCCGTGCCCTGTTCCCAGGTAAGAGCTAGGCTTGCTCTTTGGGCGTTGGGGTGTGGGGCTTGTGAGGGGCGTCCAGAGAAGGTGCCCTTGGGAAACATGGGACCGGAGCAGGGGTCGGTAAGCTTTGTCTATCAAGAACACATAGTAATCAAGACCAGCCTGGGCAACATAGCAAGACCTTGTCTCTATTTTTCAAAAATTTAAAAATTCGCCAGTTGTGGTTGTGCCCGCCTGTAGTCCCAGCTACTCAGGAAGCTGAGGCAGGACGGTACCTTGAGCTTGGGAGTTCGAGGCTGCAGTGAGCTATGATTTGCACCACTGCACTCCAGCCTGGGAGAGAGAGTAAGACCCCCACCTATAAACAAACAAACAAAAAAACATAGTAAATATGTTAGGTTTTGTGGGCCAAACATATAATAAGTATAATAAGAAGAAATTTGTATCTGAATGCCATTTTAAAATCCTGCTTCTCCTTTATATGGGAAAAACAATTAAGGCATTTTTGGCACCTTCCGAAGATATTTGCCTTTATTGAGACATAAGGCCTAAAACCCAAAGGAGACTATCCAGGCGAGACGACCGAGCTTTGCAGGGTAGTATGTGGGCAAGAAATTGAGCAGAGACCCAGACACCACCTGCCCCTGGACCTTCTAGACCCTGCCAGAGACTCCAGTGAACACCTTCCTGCAATGTCGGAAAACAAATATTGGGCCTAGGCACAGGGTCACACGGCTGTAACTGCCATCACTTCTTCTGCAGACGAGGTAGGCTGCGTGGACCCCGACATCTGCCAAAGGATCTGCGGGGCGCGAGTGGGGTGTTCCAACATCGCCTACCCCAAGCTGGTCATGGCTCTCATGCCCGTTGGTGAGTCCCGGCGCCCCGCCCCCATTCCCACCTTGCCTCCTCCAGTCTCCGTGCCAGAAGGGATGGCACTAAAACGGATGGGAAGAGGGAAGAAAAATATTCACCTCTGCCTCCTTCACCCCAACACACACACACACACACACACACACACACACACACAGCCACACTTGCACGCGCGTGTGTGAGGCACCTTCTCTGTGCTGTCCTGGAGATGCAGAGCTAAAAGGCAGGCCTGGCTCTCAGGCTCCACGCGGTCTCTCCAGGGTACCTGGACTCGCCAGGGGCACAGTACAGTGTGACCAGCGTGGTGACACAGTGGGGGCTAAGGGAGCCCTAAGGAGGCACCCGACCCAGTCTGGGGGATGCCGGGAAGGCCTTGCAGAGGGCAGGAGCCTCTGAGGCAGACAGAGCTGGAGAGGGACGGGGAACATGCTGCGATGAGAAGCTGTGTGTGCAAAGGCGCAGGGGAGAGAGGGCGTGAAGACTGAGCTGAAGGCAGCCCAGTGTGGGTGAAGATGCCAGGAGGAATGCAGACAACCTTCCTGCAGAGGATGTCACGGCCACACCTCGTTCTGGCGCGTGGCCCTTACTCTGAGGACAGGGGAGGGCGCTGGGGGGTTGAGGCTACAGAGCTCGTGACTGGATCTGCGCCTTATCAGGGCCAATCCGCACGGACGACTCGGCAGGCCTAGGGAGAAGCAGGGGGACAACCAGTGAGGTATTAGCTGTGGTCCAGGCAAGTAGCACTGATGGCTTGGACCAAGTCAGTGGCTTTAGAGTTGGAGAAACAGGAGTTCAAGATGTTTGGGAGGTAGAATTGGCAGGACTCGATTGCTGATTGTGTTTGAGGGACAAGAAAGAGGGAGAAATCAAAGAGGACTCCCGGGTCTCAGTCTTTAGAAGGTGGGTTTACAATGATATTGAGGTTGGGGAGGCTTATGGAGGACAGGGGGTGAATGGCGTTATCCGTCCCCCTGGCAGAATGAGGAATGAATCAAAGCAGTAGAGGAGATGGGGGAGGCCCAGCTAGGACCGGGCAGCCACTGAGGGGCTGGTGGGGGACAGCCGAGGAAGGGGTCTGAGCTAGCTCTGAGGTCTGCATGGGCCTGGGAAGAAATTATCAACCAAAGAGGGAGACAGAAGGCCCCGGGGAAGATGGTACCCAAGTTTGGAACACTCGAGTCTAAGGCACCTGTGAGGGAGACGTCCAGGAAGTGGTTAGACAAATGGATTTGGGGAAAAGAGGACTGAAGTGGGAGCAGGGGTGGGAGTCCTCTTCCCAGGATGAGTAGTAATATTTCTAGAAACTTGTCATTAGAGTTGGAAATACTTCAGATATCAGCGGGTCCTGTCTTCCCTTGACCAGGTGGAAAAATAGGCCCAGGAGGGGTAAGGAACTATTCCAAATTATACACACAGCTAGTTGCTTACAGAGCCGGGAAACAAGCCCAGGGCTTCTGCCTCCCAGGCTGGGGCTGTAGCCCAATACCACAATGTCAAAGAAGAATGGAGGAAACACTAAGAAACACTCAATTATTAACCATCGCCTTCCTCTTCTCCCCCCGGGACCCACCCACTCACCCCGTGTCTACAAGCCACGAGACCTAGACGGGGATGTGGAAGCTGCAGAGTACCTCAAAGGTCACCTAGTCTCCCTGCCTTAATGGTAGAGATGGGGAAACCGAGGCTCAGGGAGGGCGCATGGGTCCCGGGGGCCATAGAGTAAGGCAGGGCAGAGTCTGGCCAGAGCTCACCTCCGGCTCTGAGGGTCTCCTGGATTCCACAGGCGCTGCATGGGAGCTTCATCCACTCTGCGAGGCGGCCCCACGGGCCAGCCGTCCACTCGGCCCCGTCTCTCCCCAGGTCTGCGGGGCCTGATGATCGCCACGATCATGGCCGCCCTCATGAGCTCACTCACCTCCATCTTCAACAGCAGCAGCACCCTGTTCGCCATCGACGTGTGGCAGCGCTTCCGCAGCAAGGCAACCGAGCAGGAGCTGATGGTGGTGGGCAGGTGCGCTGGCCGCTCTCCCCCTCCCCTGCCCCTCTTCCTCCTCCTCCTCCCTCTCCTCTCCCCTCTCCCTCCTCCTTTACCTTCCCCCAGCCCAGGATTACCCTGGGCGGTGTGGCTGGGTGTGGCCTGGCAGTCTGAGCACCAGGCTCTAAGTCCTTCCCCAGCTCTGGATGACCCCTCCAGAATAATGGGGACAAAAATCTCTTTCCTGCCTGTTGAACTTTCTCTTGGAATTGATCCACAGGGTGATCGAGAGATGACAAAAGCACTTAAGAAATGAGAGGTGAACTATGACTACACAGGTGGGAGCAGAGTTAGCAAACAGCCCACCCCAAGCTCTTCTGGACCAGCTCTGGCTGTTAGTCCAAAATGACAGAAATGCTACTAATTTAATCCCTCAGACTCGCCCTGAACATCCACCGCTTGCCACACCCCAGGTGCTGGGGTCCTGCCCTCAGCGTGCTCACAGCTTGACGAGAGGGCTGGGGACACGGGAAGCACAGAGAGGTGCCTGCATCCGTGGAGGTATTCACGCGAAGGCTGTGTCTGAATGGTGCAGAGCCTTGAACACCACGCTACAGATTTCAAGCTTTATCTTGCAGCTATCAGTTTTATGCTTTAAAAAATATAACTCGGTGGCTAATTTTTCTTGTTCTCCACAGGCTGGGGCTTTTCAGTGTACACAGGGCTAAGGGGCCCTTTCTGAAATCTTTGCATCATACTCTAAGGCTCCTCGACTCAGTTTTCTGGACTAAAGCGCTTATCCTCCGCTTTGGTCGATAGGTACCTGAGTTCAGACATCTTGCCTTTGCACTCACTGTTCTCCCCACCTCTGCCAAGCTGCCTAATGGGCTCCTACGGCCTGCTCATCCCTGCACTCCTCACCGGAGGCACAGGCGCTGACCACTGCTGGGGACAGTTTGGGCAAAGAGGACAGTCATGAGCAGTAGGGAGGCCACCTGGGTAGCTGCTGCTCTGGTGAGGCCTGAGAGAGGAAAAATGGGAGGAAAAGGAGAGAGGAGAGGAGAGGTGTGCAGAGACATTTCCAAAGAAGCGTCCCTTAGCTCTGCATAGTAGCTGCCTGGTTTTGCTGCTGCTTGTTTACCAATCAGTGGGGTTTAGGCGCCATCTCCTGGCCATATGTATTATTGCATGCAACACATTAAAGAAAAGTTTTTCATCATCTTGGTCACACACCTGCAAAATCATACATCCAGAACGCTTTGGGGGCGCAGGCCTGAGCCAGGATCAGTTGATGGAAAGTCAGGAGAAGAAAATGGGGCTCTTTCCTAACTCAGTGACAATGTAAGGGCGAGAAGGTTAGAGCCTGGAGCAGGGAGAAGTTCTTGCACAGGTGGGATGCAAAAGAGGAGGAAAAGCATCCCTAGCAGAGACCAGAGGCCTTTTACTGGAGTGGGTGGTGGGGTGGAAGGTACAGATTCATTCTTGAACAGCAGGTGGGTGACATGGCCTCGAAGGCAAACAATACATAAATGCCAAGGTTTTAGAATTATGGGTTTCTTGGATTCTGAAATTCTGGGACTTTGACAGTCTGAATTTCCGAAGCTTAGTATTTGGAATTCCGACCTGCTAACCTTCTCTGATTCTGTGACCATGTATTCCCCTCCCTCCTCCCTTCCTGGTTCCTGTGCGTCACCTTCACCCCATGCCACGCCACGCCCACCTGAGTGCGCCTCACAGGGCCCTGCGCTCTCCCCGGCAGAGTGTTCGTGGTGTTCCTGGTTGTCATCAGCATCCTCTGGATCCCCATCATCCAAAGCTCCAACAGCGGGCAGCTCTTCGACTACATCCAGTCCGTTACCAGCTACCTGGCCCCGCCCATCACCGCCCTCTTCCTGCTGGCCATCTTCTGCAAGAGGGTCACCGAGCCTGTGAGTGCAGCGCACTGTCTCCTCCCCGTACAGCAGAGGGGCTGGCGACCCCTGTCCATCACCTGGTCTCTGTGACCTTGGGCAAACCCGCTGCCTCTCCAGGCTTCACCTCCCTGCCCACAGTATTAGGTCTAGATTCATTCATTCATTCTGCAGTTATCAGTCCTATTACGGCGGCTCCAGGGCTGCAATGGTTTACAAGGTTCCCACAGGTCTGCCATCGCTGGGCGGGCAGGGAGAAGAGAGGCTTAAATAAGCACTAATAGTAAAGTACAATGGCTGCTGCAAGAGTAAAAAGCACAGGCACCTAATCTGCGGGGCTCCCGGGAGGGGGTCAGGGAAGACTTTCCCAAAGTCTGAGTCTGAGCTGAGACCTGAAGGCTTAATGGGAGGGGAAGGAGTGTTCCAGACACGAGTAGTGATGTGTGAAAGCGCAAGACAGACTGGAAGATCTCTAGGGTCTGTTCCAGCTCTGACAGCTGGAGGTTCTATATGTAAGCAAAACAGCAGGAATGACGAGGATGACGACAAAGCGTGAACTTACAGGTGTGCCTGCTCCTGCATCATTCATGCGACAGCACTGAAACCTGACAGAAGTGTGGGGGGAAGCTAGAGGTGCCAGGACTGGAATCCTGGTTACTCCCCAGGAAAGCCTAGAAGAGACAGGCCCGAATTTGCCGCTGGCCGTACCTTGGAAAGTTAGGGACATCACAGATACAACTCCACAAGAAGGATGTGCGAGCTCAAGGTCGTCGCCAAGCTGTCATGGAAACCCCTCCCTCGGTGGAGCACCTAAGCAAGGTGTCTGCGTCTGCAGAGGTGTCATCTTCTCACTGAAAACCACGCCACACAGCAGGACCCAGTTGAATTCTGGGTGTTTCTGCTCATTCTAGAATTTTTGAAATATGAATCAGTATCTCATTTCTGATAAGAGGTCATCTGACTCTTACATATTGGGAACAGGTACAGGTTAGGGGGCCAAATAAAGAAATAAAGAAGAAAGATACAGAAGGTACTAGAGCCTTTCTTTAAAAAAAAAAGGCAACAAAAGGAAAATCTTTATTCTGAATTCTGATCCCTGCTTATTACAAATCTTATTCCATTCTAGTTGAATATTAAGCCTCCATTACTTAGTACTTATTAATTTCTCTTATCATGACACATGAGAAAACTCTGAGTCAGCAAGGCCAAGTTACTGGTTCCCCGTCATTCCAAAACGGAGCCAGGATCCCAATCCCAGCCTGTTGGATGCCGGAGCCCATCCCTTTTCAGTGTACTGCTCTGCCTGCCTGCAAATCACGACAGTCTCAGCATGAATGGGAAGCTCACGAAGACGGGCTTGCCAAAGCCTGTAATAAACCAGTGGGAGAGAGACGGGGGGGCAGAGTGGCTTTCAGCGTCCTAGGGTCTCCCACCTGGGTCTCATCCCTGCGGGCGTCTGCCCTCTCTCCACAGGGAGCCTTCTGGGGCCTCATGTCTGGCCTGGGTGTGGGGCTTCTGCGCATGATCCTGGAGTTCTTATACCCAGCCCCAGCCTGCGGGGAGGTGGACCTGCGGCCGGCTGTGCTGAAGGACTTCCACTACCTGTACTTTGCGCTCCTTCTCTGTGGGCTCACGGCCATCGTCATCGTCACTGTCAGCCTCTGTACAACCCCCATCCCTGAGGAGAAGGCAAGTGTTGGGCTCACACTGGGGCCCCCCAGAAATGCTCTTCCTTATCCCCAATGCCTATAATTCCATCACTGAGTTTTACTCTGTTGTACTGTGGTCTCCTCTGTGGCCATATAGATGTCCTTGGGAAGGGGAACTCACTGGGCCATGAATTCCCAAGTGAAAAGTAATTCATTCAATTCAAAAATCACTCAGCGAGTACCTGCTGTGTGCCAGGCTCGGTGCTGGGGCTACAAAGATGGATGGTCCCTGCCAGAGACTATCCGCAAGGGGGAACAGGCGCAGACACACACTGTCACTATACAAAGAGAAAGTGCAGCAGGACCAAGCACAGGAGAGGCAGTTATCGCCTGGGGCACCAGGGCGGTACACTGACTGACAGGTGCACTTTGAGTTGGACCTTGAAAAGTGAATAGAGAATTTTTGAATGTCAAGAAACATGTCCGTGAGAAAAGAAACAGAGTTTGCCAGGTGAAGAGCTCAATTTGAAATCCTCATCTCTCCAAAGCTGACTGACGGAACAGCCCTGGAACTCGATGCCCGGTCTTTCAAAGCCCTCTTTTCCTTAGAGCCTGTATTAGTTTGGCAGGGCTACCATAACGAAGTCCCGCAGACTGGGCGACTTAAACAGCGTAACGTTGTTGTCTCACAGTTCCAGAGGCTGGAAGTCAAGATCAAGGTGTCAGATCAAGGTGGTTGGTTTCTTCTGAGGCCTCTCACTGTGGCTGGCAGGTGGCCGTCTTCTCCTGTGTGTCTTCACGTGGTCTTCTCCTAATCTCCTCTTCTTTTAAGGAAGCCAGTCCTATTGGATTAGGGCCCCCCTTAATGAACTTATGTAACCTTAATCATGTCTTTAAAGCCCCGTCTCCACAGTCACTTTCTGTGGTACCCTAGTAGTGGTTAGGATTTCAACATACGAGTTTGGGGGGACAAAATTCAGCCCATAACACAGCCCAGGCCAGAAGTCAGTCCCGGCAGCATGCAGTGGACATCACGAATAATACGCCATATGGGGATGGTGCTTTAGCGTTTGCGAACAACTTGGTTTCCCTGATTCCTACATACAAGCAGGCCATCTGGAGATGAGCGGAGGGAGGCTGACTTCGCCAGCAGCTCGCTCCAGAAACAACTTCCACCTGCCGAATCTTCGCCACCTTCTCCATCGTCTGCATTCTCGCTCCTCATCCTTCCTGATTGAAAATCCTTCCCTGAATGCAGTTCTGCTCTAGTTCCTGCTGCCTCCCTCTGCTGCCCTCAACAGCAAACTTTCGCAGAAAATGGCCCCCACCCCCAGCCTCCACCTACACCCCCCGTCTGCCTCTCAACCTACTGCATACCACCTGCCTGTTGTCCCCATTGAATCTCCATTGAAATTGCTCTCACCGAGGTCACTGATAACATCTTGTTGCTAAAAACAATGTTCCCGCCTTTACCCTAAGTGAATTCCGAGGAGAACTAGGCACTACTGACCACTGACCGCTTCCTGCACCCTGAAGACCTCTTTTCTGTTCACTTCCATGAAATATTTCCCTTCTGTTTTTTTTTTTTCCTACCCTTCTCATCACCTTTTTGATTTCTTCATGGGCTTTTCTTCCTGCCCCTTAAATATCAGTGTTTCTCAGGAGCCCATTTGTGGTCTAAAACCCATCTCACCTTACAATGTCCCTGTGCTATGAATTCACAACTTCCTATATAAAGGTGACACTCAATTCTCTATCTCTAGCCAAAACCCCTCTCCCAAGATTCAAACCCCAAAATCCAACTTCCTCCTGGTGACATAAAGAGACACAGTCCATATGCTATAGTGACACAGAGCATAAGTCTGAAGGAAGACTTACTGAGAGATACTTACAAGCAAGGAAGCTGCCCAGGCCCTCATGATCACGTGGAGAGGCAGGCGGGGGCCCAGCACAGCTGGACACGCAGTGCCAAGCAAGAGGCTGGGAGCAGGGCAGGGGGAAGTGGCTCAACATGCAACAAAGAGCTTCATGGCCAGGAGGAGAGCCTTGTTGGAAAGGAGACGGTGCAGAGCTCAGTGAGTGGTGAGTCCAGCACCACTGACGTCAGCCAGAGAACTTGCTGTATTTTGGTCTACTGAGCCACAGAAAGCAGAAGAGGGAAAGCCACCAGGGCCGTGCAGGGTACACCAGGTCTGTTCCTCCTCACCTGGACGTCTCCGCTTGGAGGTCCTACAGGCACTTGAAGCTCATCACCGTATTTGCGTGTGGGCATGTCCTCTCTCAGGCCCCCACCCCACCAGCACCAAACGCACTCCTGTCCTGTATCTTCTGTCCCTAGGAGGGGCACCCATCTGTTCATCCAGTCCAAGGCAGGGGCCCAAGAGCTGTATTAGCCTCATCCCTCGCCCTCCCCTGGCTCACTCACTCAGTCCCTGCGTCTGGCAGATTTTACCTCCTTCCCATCCCACAAGACTGCCCCCTCCTACCCATGACCTTGGGGCTCACGATTTCTCCCTTCGCTTTTGCAGCAGCCTCCAGGCTGGCCCCCTTGACTTCACTCCAAGGGGTCTTTGAAAATCTCAGAACTTGCAGTCTCTTCCCTTTGCCTAAAGTCTGCAGTGACTCCCCTACAAGGTTACCTACAAGAGTTTTATTCTTTTAAGCACCAACTCCTTTGGCCGATTCTTGAAGTCTTTGTTATCCAGCTCCTGCCTCCCCATCCAGCCTTGCCTGTGAGATCCACGAGGCCAAGGCCCATTCGTGACTCGGGTCTGTATTCCAGCACCCAGCACAAGCCTGGCACAGAGCAGGTGCTCAGGCAGTGCTGTCGGGGCTGAGCGCCAGGCCTGGCTCCCAGCCTTGGCGTTGGTCCTCGTGCTCTCTGCTGTTGCTCTGACTGCCTTCCATGAGTGGGGTCCTCTCTTCTACAGCAGGGCTTCTCTCCAAGACAACTGACTCCAGCCATCTTCTCTCCCTCCAGCTCGCTCGCCTGACATGGTGGACGCGGAACTGTCCCCTCCCTGAGCAGGAGGAGGCCCAAGAGAGCACATGGGAGCTGCCTGAGAGGCCAGCTGGGGAGTGCCCTGCAGGAGGGGGAGCGGCAGAGAACCCAAGCCAGGGCCAGGGGCAGCCCGGAGGTAGGCTGGGATTGGCTGGGGATACCCCGCACAGAGGAGCAGTCGGGACAGAGCCCATGTCATGGGCAGTCACTGGGGATGGGGCCTCTGCGGGAGCCCAGTAAATATCACCCTTCCTCCCTTCCCACATGGCTATTGAACTATTTGGAAAATAAGACAATGAGTAAGGCAGGTGGGGGCCAAAATATTGCCTTGGTTACTGATAAAGTGAAGGCGGAGAGAGCTGATTTATATCTATGGGAAGCGCACTTCCTAAAACTGAACCCCAGCGTAGGCAGAGGCACCATCCAGTCACCCACAGATCTGATCCGGGGCAGCCTACCCCCTGTGAATGAGGGAGGGGCTGAGCCAAGCACGCCCTCTTTGTCCCTCCAGAACCTACCAGCAGGGAGTCTTTTCAGCTCCCCAGGCTGAATGAGTACAAGGGCAGAAAATCAGAGTGTTGTACCTAAGGAGGTCCCCCCACGTGGAAGGAAACATCAGACTTGACAAAGAAACACCCTCCTGCTCAGTCGCCATCGAAACTTTTCTTTATTATGCATTCATTTGTTTTCCCCTGGGCTCAACAATTCTGCCTATAGTCACACAGAAGCATGGGTGTCCCTCGTGGAATGAGAGCGGCTGCGTGTCCACACAGCTGTGTCTGTCTTCATGAGGTTCCTCCAAAGCAACCACCACTCCTATGAGTGTCTCCCTGAGCTGCTGATGGGCCATATAAATTGTGCCTCTTGGAGGTTCTTAAATGTGTTAGAATAGTACATTAGATTTACTTCAAGGCCACATGGTGTCTAAAGTTGAAAATTATTATAAGACTTGATGTACCTGTTTTAGACATAATGCAGCTATAACTTTCCTGTAGTGAGATTAAACAATATCAAAATATTCTAATGATAGGATGAAAACATTATAAAGATGTTTCCAGTAATCAAATTCCTAAAGAAAAAATTAAAATCCCCAAAGTTATATCAGTTTACAAGTTAAAGTACAAAATCAATTTCTCTTGCCCTTGTGAATTAAAAATTCAATGAAATTTAAGTCCTTAATTTATTTTCCGCCCCCGTTAAAGGGGGTCTCTGTGCCTGGGTGGAGCTGGGGTCCCTTCGGCAGCTGCTCTCTCCCACTGGAGTGGGTTTAGCTCCACCAGGGCCTCAGAAACCGTCTTAGTTCTATACCAGTCGCTGTGTGCCAAACTTTCAATAATTCCAGCAAGTTAAGAGCATAGACGAGATGATCGAACATCGCTGGCTGCACTGCAGGGCTGGCAGTGCTGTGCCACTCAGCTCTCGTGCCTTTCCCAGGTTTCAGGGGCCCTGTGTTTTCCCTGAGGCCTGAGAAGGCTCCCACCTTTCTTGAGGCCCTTCTCCTTTGCTTGAAGCCCTGATTCTAGAGAAACAGCCACTTTCCTAGAGTTAGTGACACCATGAGCTCTAGAGTCCCACCAGGGTCTAAGGCTCAAAGCTTCTTGCCCATACTACAGCGGTGAAAAGGCAACAGACCACTACAGAAAGCTATCCACAATGACATAAACGTCTACAGTCAAAACCCATGCAGGCTTACTTCAGGAAGCACTACCAAAGATCAAAGTCACCCTCCCTGGTCTTCCCTAATTAGTTCAGGTGTATTTTGCTTTGCAAAACGTAACTCTTTGTCTCTTTTTTAAGCATTGTGGCCCATGCACCAGATGTTGGGGTCTCGAAACTGCTGCCCCCCACTTCCATAATTTTAAGGACCGGCCCTGGGCCCTGTAAAACTCATGGCATGGGAGAAAGTAACCTGAGAATATGAGCTTTTCATAGGTGAGGCAGCTACCAAGAGAGGGAGGAAGGGGAAGGGGAAAGCTGCAAAGGTAACTCCCAAAGAGAATGAGGATGGGGACAGCTTGTACTTTGCCACGGCTGAACACCAGAAGTAGACAGACGTTTGCAGAGTTACACAGACAAACCCACTCCCTCTGGCCCCCACGCCCAGGGGCAGAGCCATCTCTGGAGCAGCAGAGAGGAGGAATGTCTGCTCCCTGGCAACAGCTTGCTCCCAAAGGACAGAAAGGAGGCACTGAGTGAGCCACGAAGACTGATGAGAGACATCCACCCCTCCCAGACACAAAAGCTCCTTCTCCGCCAAAAGAAACAAACACCACGAATAGGGGAGAAGAAAGCCCCTCTTGCAAGGCCTGCGGGCAGATGTAGGCCAGGCAGGACAACTTTGAGTCCTGAAAAAACAAAGGTTAAAAATATTTAAAGGACAGCAGAGTAGACCTGAAAGAAGTATATACATCCCAGGTTTTACATAGGTTTACGAGTTACGGTGCACCACTTAATGACTGCTTAGGGGACGTGGGGTCTCTCACAGAGCCCTGTGTATCCTCTGCTTCAGAGGGTCACCATCAGAGTCCAAAGAGAGAATGTTTGGACCAGCTTGTAAAATGAGAAAGCCCAGAACAAACAAAATGCTGGATTTGTATTATCGTTCTTCATGCAGCTCTGTGGCTATGTGACCTTAAATAATCCTCTTCCCTTTCCTAAGCCTTATTTCTCCTCCGTACAATGAGGGACCAGACCAGATGGTATCCAGGGCCTCGCATCTCTGATGCTCTGTGGTCGCGTTATGCTTACCAAGTACAACGCTCCAAAGCCAGTAAGATAATAAAGCATTTGTTCCCAGGGCCTTCTTTTCAATCTCAAGGAATAGCTTTTTAGAAATATTAATTTTATTTTTAACATGCTATCTGCCGATTTTGAAAATTTCAAAAATGTTTACTTTATTACTTCTTTTAAGCTTAGTTTTTAGTGAATTGTGCCACCTTTTAACCGCAGAGCAGGCCCTTTTCCCACACTGGGGGCCTGTGTCTGCACGGGCTTGGTCTAATGCACATTTAGAACATCATATGCCAGAGAACCAGAACCTCTCCCGCTGCCTCAGTGCTGGTAATTTTTAAAGTGCTGTCAAATCTCCATTCTCGTTTGATGCTCGAAACAACCCAGAGAAGAACAGGGCATATGTCATTGACCCATTTGAGACAGAAAGAACCCGCAGCTCAGAGAAGCTGAGTGATTTGCATGTGGCCTGCAGTCAGCTGATGCAGAGCTGGCCCTGGAACAAGTCCCTGGCCACCCAGTGCCCTCCCAACTGCAGGTGCAGCAGCCTGGTTCAAACGCTCCTTCCTTCCTGGGTGAGATATGCTCCTTCCCTCCGTCCTCGTTCAGGACTTGTGCTCTGAATTGGGCTGAACTGCATTATCCTCCCTCCCTAACCCACCACACCCTGCAACAGTGGGATGCTTCTGCTGAGTGACTGCAGCCAGGGTCAGAGCTCAGTCTAGAATCTCACCGCGGCACCCAGCCTGCGGTTTGCAGAAAGGCCACGTCGGTGGCTTCACCCCTCCCCTGCTTTCTGTGCACCCCATTCCTTTCTTCAACTTCTCATCATCTCTCTCCCTCCCCTGCTCTCCCATCACATTCTCCAACCTTTCCTTACCTCTCCCCTCATGCTCTCCTTTCTCTTCTGGTTTTGTCCGCTCAGCCCCATGCAGGTCCTGGGGAAAGCTGCTCTGGGGCTGGTTCTGTGGGCTCTCTGGGGCCCCGGAGCAGGCCCTGAGCCCCGTAGAGAAGGCTGTGCTGGAGAAGAGGCTGACCAGCATCGAGGAGGAGCCGCTCTGGAGAAGCGTCTGCAACATCAACGCCATCCTCTTGCTGGCGATCAATGTCTTCCTCTGGGGCTATTTTGCATGACTCTGCAGAACTGGCTTCGGCGCAGACACATTAAACACAGCCCAACCCGCTAGCCATAGAGACAGGCTCTCATCCCATCTTGCTGTCTAAACTGGAGACCAAAGAGCTAAGACTGCAAGATGCCCTGAAGAGCATCCAATCTAACCCGCACGCATGACAAGTGGGGTAATGGCGACCCAGGGAGAGCACCATGTTTGCTCAGGGCCATCCAGCAGGACTCACGTGGGTCTTCCCACTCCACACCCTTTCCAGTACATTGCCTTACATTCCTACCTCAAAAACACTGCTTCCACCCTCTTCTTGAGTCTATTAAGGAACCTTCACTGCATGTGTGTCTTGAGGTGGGAATGTGGAGGATACGAAAAAGAAGTAGCAAGAACCCAAGTGCACCTTTGCTCCCCCATACCCCCGTCCTCCTCCCACTTCTAGTTCCTCTACGTCTCCCCCTCTCTATTCTCAATGCCCGTTATTTTTTTTGCGGCTTGATTTTGGCCGGGGGGGCCTTTTTTTTCCTTGGGGGGTTCCCTGTTGTTGGCCTTCGGTTCCTTTTCTTAGGCCTTTTTCAATTTTTGCTTTTTTTTCTTCCCCCTTGCAATTTTCCTGGAATTTTCCTTGGCTTTGGTTTCGTTTGGGGGGTTTTGCTTCTTTGAAACCAGGGGGAATCAAGACATGCTACTCTGTACTTCAGGGTGAGCCCTGCAGGGGCAGCAAGGACAGCCCGGGAGCCACTTTACCTGGGCCCGTGTCCCTCTCCTTTTGCCTGCCCTGCGTCTGCCTGCCCTGGAATACACCGTGAAGCTGCTTAAGTGTCCCTTCTCCAGGAAACTGCCCTGATGCTCCAAACTGGCTCAAAACCCCACTCCTGCCTCCAAAACACTTGGACCTGCTTCTGTCCCAGCACTGATTACACTGTGGTATTATCTCCCCTCCTAGATGGAGGATGCCAAGGAGCAGGGACCAAGGGCCACGTCCCAAGGGACTTTGTACCCAGAAAATAACGGGTGTTCAATAAATGTTTATTGAATTAATAAGTTCTCCAAGGTCCTGGTGGGCTTTGTGCTGTGGCTGGCTGGGTAGGACTCGGGGAGCCATGTGGCGGGAGGAGTGTCCTTAAGTTAGAGTTCAAACAGTGGCTCTCGGGTATCTCGGATGAGAGCCTGGCCCAGCCCACTGCACAGCGCGAGGTGGGAAAGTGTCTTCCTTCTTCCGTCTCCCTGTCAAGGCATCATTTTACACTGATGGCTAATCACAATTGGACACAAATAAAATTCCATTTCTTGGAGGTGGAAATACACCTGAGTCTATGAAAACCTCCCGTCGGTGCTGCCTGCAAACTTTCGCGTCCACTGCCCTTCCGACCTCATCCATGTGTCACTGCAGGTGGCTCTGCCTCTCCATTGTTCCCCGTCCATCCTTACTGAAAACTCAGCCGTGCCCCGATTTTTCCCCAAATCACTTGCACACATATTTGTGGGCAGCAGATTATACTGAAGATTTGAGGAAAGAACTTTAAACCACAAGAGCATAATCTAAAGTTGGGTTTATTTTCAGAAGTTCCTCAGCAGCCTGCTATGAGACTTCTCAGAGGTCTCCTCCTCCGCCTCCTGCCTCCCGCCCTGCTCTCAGTCCCTCGCTCTCAGCAGGTGTGAGAGAAGTCTCTCCACCCGAACATTTCTGGCCTTCCTCCCCGGTTTCCTCCTCTGTTACTATGCTGAGCCTCTACTGGGCTGCAGACCTATCTCGTCTGACCCAAAGATGCAGTAGGACTGTATGAAGGATGGCCACTCCCTGTCCCCATCATGATCTCGCCATAGCTACCTGCGTCCCAGAGCAGACAAACCCCTAACACCCAACATCCAGTCTCATGGTGCCCTGACTTTACCTTCAAAGCATGTGCCAGTGTATGCTGCTACATTTACCTAATTAGTTCATTAATATGCTTCTCCCCGCCTAGATCACGAGCTCCCCGCCTAGATCACGAGCTCCCCACTGAATCCCCATCACCTAGAAAGATATCTGGCACATGGTGCGTGCTAAAAATCTGTGTTGTATGAATAAGTGAAAGTGAAAGAATGAGTGAGAAAGTGAGAAAAGTGCATCCCTGGCAGAGGAACCCAAATATTAAAAACACAAAGGTGGGAAAAACCATGACATAACCAGAAACAAAAATAGTTTAAAGTGTTTGGAGTGGAGTGTACACATGGGTAGGGCCATTACTAGTCCTTATGGTTTTTCATGCAGGTAAGCAAAAGGTGCCCTTCCTTCTTGGCAGCCGCAGTTCCTCACTATAGGGCTAGAGGCTTGTCTCAGCCCCCACATACCCCTATGGGCAGGGCACCACCTGCACATCCACCAGTGGTAGCCCTGCACGTTGGGGAATGGCTGGTGCAGTGACTGGGGGTAAAGCAGGTGTTAGGGTTTCCACCTAAACTTGGGACTTCATCGTCTCTTTCCTGGATCATTTCAACAGCCCCTTAACTTTTGTCCCTGTTCCCAGTCACTCCTCTTCCAATTCATCCTATGCCCTATGGCAAGAATGATCTCTCTAAAAAGCAAATCTTGTATTCCACCTATATTATTAAAACTGTCTATAGGAGGTGTTTTCTAACTCGGCATTAGACCCTACAAAAACTGCCAGAAATATCCCCAGGGTTTAGTTTTTGGGCCTCCTTCTCTAGGCTGTTCTATGCAGTGGTTCAGAGCAGAGGCATGGAAGACTGATCTGCTGGAACCAAATCCTAGTTCTGCCATTTGCTAACTGCATGATATTCGGAAAGTTGCTTAACTTCTCTGTCTTAGCTTTCTCATCCACAAAATGGAGATGGTAATTACAGCTATATCATGTGGTTGTAGAGAGGATTCAGTGAGTTAATTCAAATAAAATACTTAAAACAGTTCCTGGCACATAACTAAAGCACTTAATAAACATGGGCTATTATTACTACAATTAGTAGCAGGTGAGATGAACACAGAAGGAGGCATGACACGACATAGTAAGATTATTTTAGAACTAGCACGACATGCTGTCAGAGCAAAGAGCAGGGAGCAATTAGTTCTACCAGGGCAATGGGGAAAGGGCATAACAGAACAGTGAATAATGGAGCAGGGCTTTGGCGGATGAATGGGAGTTTCCTAGAAGTTACCCAAGGACAGCATGTGCACAAGTGTTAAGGTACAGAAGTGCATAATGGGTTCCTATAAAATAGGGATACTATTTACTCACTTGCAAAACTCAACCCTATATATTTAATTTCCCATTATATAAATCATGTTTTGTTTTAGTTTCTTGCCTCTAAGCTGAGCTGTGAGGTTTACTGACAATGGACAGGAGAGATTGGGCATTGGACCCCTGCAGCAGTGGCTGTCAGAGCCCCGCTCACCAGTCTTGTTTGCTGTGACTTCCTGCTGAAAACCCCTACAACTCTCTGCTGAGAGCTTTCTCTGGCTGCAGAAAAATGCTCTGCACCCTGCACAGAGCAGGTTGGAAGTGCTGGGAGTTAACGCACTTGGACCAGCCCTAAATTAATGACAAATGAGAGTTGGTGGATAAACACAGCCTGTTACTTGCCCTCAAGTGGGACAACTCAGAGGCTTGTTCTAAACTATCTCATAGAGGTTCTCAGGGGGATTGAGTCCCAACTGCCCACAGTATTAATACATCCATGAACACACCTTGCATAGCTCCCTTCCCTTCCAAATACAGTACTGGTCGCATGTTCTGCTCCTGGGAAACCAACCTAATAACAGTCTTTTAGCAAGAACAGGCTTTGAACTCGGGCTTTGTGGAGTGGGAAGAGGGCAAAGCCTAGGATATGGACGTGGAAGCTTCCCCATGGGGAGAGAAGCTCTCCTGTCTACCATCGAGTCTCAGCCCTGCTGCTGGTCGTGTGAAGTGGGCGCTGGAGTGGGAGGCTTCCAGGCAGAGGAAACAGCACACACAAAGAGATCTCTGAGGTCACCTCCAGTTTCGAGGTTTTTCTCTCATTTTTGTCACTAAACAGGCCAGGCCCTGTTCTAGGCACCGGGGGTGCTGGTATCCTGGCTTTGGTGCCTTCTTAACAGCTAGACCCTGAGTTCTCCGAGGACCAGCATGCTTCTCCTTTAACTGTTACAATGGAGGAAAGAAAAGAGCCCTAAGCTGGGCGCCAGGAGACCTGAGTTCCATTCCCAGAGCCCGGCTTCAAGGGCTGACTGTTCACAGGATGGAGAGGTTGTAAGTGGGAGGAGGCTCAGAGGCAAACAACCAGTTGGTGCAGGGAGCGCACAGGTCAGGGTCAGTCCTAGAAGGAACCTCAGTGACCAGTTCATTAAATCTCCACATTTCATGGAACGAGAAATGAGCCTTCTGGATGGGATGGGACTTGCTTAAGGTCATTTAGGGAGTCAGCAACAATTACGTGGGCTCTTCAACATGAAAAGTGTTTCAGAGGTAGTGGCAAGTCAGGCGTGACGCAGAAGGGGTTGCAGGAAAGCGGCATGCTGCGCCCACATTCGGCACCAGGCCTCGGCATGTCTGCTGCAGGCACGGAAGTCGCGTGCACATTGACAGCCTCACCAATGTGCCTGCCACACTCTCACCATTTGAAGGGGCCTCCAAGGTCCTCTCGTCCAGCCCTCCTTCCCCTGTCCCACGCCATTGTCCATGTGGCTCCCTTTGCCTGGAACACTCACCCCGACTTCCTTCCTCATACCTCCTATCTCCTGCTCGTCTCAGGAATCATTTCTTCCTACTCACTTTTCCTGATGCCTCCGCACACACCTAAGTTGGTTTTGTGTCCTTCCTCTGAGCCTCCACAGGACCCTGTGCTTCTCTACCAAAGCAAGTTTCATGCTAGTGTTATAATTACTTTCAGATACTCTTTGCCATAGGTTGGTGCTCTTTGAAGTTAGGCAATGTGCTTATCCAGAGACTGCACGGTGCTAGGGCATTTAGCAAGTGCTTGGTAAATGTCCAATGTGAATGAATGCATGTCGGATTTACCCCACAATATTTTGACTGTGTTAGTTCCTAGCCATAACCAAGAGAAAGTATAATGAAGAACCGTGTCTCTACAGACTTCAGAGTTACAAAGCCCTGCCAAGTGTGAGGTCTTGTTAAATTCCTACAACTCCAAGAGATAGGTAGGCAAGTATCACCACCTTTTCAGAAAGGTGAACTGCAGGGCAACTCTACATAAATAAAAAGCAAGGGAGCCTTTTCTGCCTTCAACTCCTAACAACTCCTCTTCACGTTCGAAGGTCAAGGTATCTGAGGGACATCAGAGGGTGACATCCACCACTTGTGCCTTGGTTGCCCTGGTCTCCAATGTGGTGCATCAACCTCATTGACTCCAATGCTCTGGTGGCCATTCTCCAACCCTTTCACCTTTACCCTCTCTCCCCTTCCAGCAGGGCCCTGTTCTCAAGTTGATACCTCCATTTCTACCTGCTGCTATGTGATTGTGTGGGATATCACCTGGCCTGTTATATGTGTATTTCAGCAGGGTCCTTATCCCTTCAGGGGCGATTCGATTGCAAGATGGTATCAGGTACTCTCCCAAGCCACT